CTATTTTATAAGCTCCATATAGTGCTATAAAAGAGGGGAAACCACGTTAGACCACAGTCAGCCCTCACCATCAATAAAATTTCATTTCACACAGAGGAGGAAAACCTTTGTCTAGGATACTGAAGAGGTGTTGTCTGGTTTTCTTGACCAGAATTGTGTGCCTGTGTATATATTTTCAGACAACTCGTGGGTCTGAATTTTACAATTCAGTCTTCAGCACCCCAGATACAGGTTTCCTATCATGTTTGCTGTTTGTGGGAAATAAAGTTCTGTATCAGGGCTATTGAGTTATTAAAATAAAATAAAAAAACTTAATTGGTCTACATTCAAAATAGAGGATTTTGCACTACAGGTAGTCCTTGGGTTATGACCATTTGTTCAGTGACTGTTCAAAGTTATGATGGCACTGAATGAGGGGTACTTATGATGGATACTTGGAGTTCTGGCCATCGCAGTGACCCTGCAGTCACAGGATTGGGATCTAGGTGCTTGGTCCCAGCTTGTGATTATGACATCACAGTGAGCTGCAGTCATGTGATCAGGATTTCTGACATTCCCTGTTGGCTTCCCACAAGCAAAGTGAATGGAAAAGCCAGCAGAAAGTCGGAAGTCATGATCATGTGAGGTCCCCACTTAATGACCCGCATGGTCCTTGTTTAATGACAGCAACTGGGACTGCCAGAATAGCCATTGCTAAGCAACATGTCACGTGACATCATGCTTTTACAACTGCGTTGTTTAGCAACAGAGTTCCTGGTCCCAATTGCTGTTGTAACCTGAGGACTACCTGTTTAGCCATTGTACCTAAGCAATATTCTTTCTTTAAAGCTTTTTTCTCTGTTTCTCTCTTACCTACGCTTCCTGTTTTTATAAAATTAAACTCTAACTTTCATTATTAAATAAACTGTTCTTCATATATATATTTAAAACACATAAATAAACCATGTCTTGTTTTATGTATTACTTTCTTGCAGTAGGCTTTGGTGCACCCTATGGTCTTTGGCTCCATAGAAAATTTCGTAAGCCTCAGGAAGCATCTGATGATTTAACTTTTCAGAATTTAACAAAATCAAACACCGAGGCACCAGGTGAAGAACCTACAGTAAGTCATATTTTGCTCTACACAGTAGCAAATGTAACAGATTTATTTGGTATATATTATGACAAAGAGTAAAAGATGCTGGCTCATTGTTTTAGAAAGCAAAATAATTTGCCATTTTTATCAATAAAATGGGGATTCTGATGTGTCCATATGCTTAAAGCTAAATAATATTTTTTGTACATGGAAGCATATTATCTACCATCATCATTTTATAGTTAAATAATGTTTTGAAGTGTAAACCATCCATAAAAAACTGCTCTGGCTGAATCCAGAAAAGGTAGATACCCCTTGGGGCCTTGAAGTTTCAGATGACGTGAGTAATAAGCTAACTGCAACACTACATGCTGGTTGCAGGTTGAACCCACTGGCTGTTATGTGCCCTGGGCTATAAAACCCACATGAATCCTGAGTGTAGGCAATGGCTAGAAATGGGAGGAAATGGATGACAGTTTTGGGGGCAAGTGGATTATTATTTAGCTAGTATGCACACTGGAATATACATTTAGATCTGGGCTCTGACTGTTCAGGAATCTTTTTTCCAAAATGTGTTTCCCAGAAATTCTATTGTTATTATTCTTCACATTCCAGAATCTAAATATATTTCCCATGACAACAGTGAATGAAGCTGTAGGGATGCACACAGATGAAGGAAAAACTGAAAAGCAAGAAGATTTGGAAGCAGGAAAAGGAGGAGGGCATTCCACATCAGAATTAGTCAAGGGACAAAAAATGAACCATGTGGCACAATCTTTACAAGACTGTGAGCCTTCTTTAAGGAATTCGTACAGAGATTTCTGTTCAGAATGGCAGAATTTCACTAACCCTCGCTTAACTGAAGTAAGTTCTAATAGCATATAATTTTCTAGTTTTGATTTCTAATAGCATATAATTTTCTAGTTTTGAGTATTATACATATGGGCAGAACATCTTGTATTATTTATTTATTTATTTACTTATTTATTTATTTATTCGGCTTGTATGCCGCCC